AGAGAAACCAGTTTTCCATTAAGGTCTACAGGTGAGTCCGCCAGAATGACTAGATCATCGGCATAGAGTAGTAGAATTAAGTCCGTGTAGTTATCAATGTTTATACCAGAGTGGCCACAGTTCCTGAAGTAGTTCTCTATGTCTCCAATAAATATTGAGAATAAGAGAGGACTCAGTGATTCACCTTGTAATACTCCACATGATATATCAAATAATCTGCTCTGCAACCCACTTGAAGTGATCGCAAAAACAGCATTATCATAATAATTTTTGATTATTCTCACTATTTTGGAACTTACACCAGCCAAATACAGTTTCCTGTACAGTAATGTATGATTGACGCTATCAAAAGCGCGTTTGAAATCGATAAATGCAGCATATATCTTCCTTTTAGACAAGCGTAGATGAAAGTAAATTACAGATGAGAGGGTGAAGATATTATCAGTACATCCTCTGTTTTTACGAAAACCAGATTGACATTCAGGAAGAATGCTAAACTCTTCACACCAACTATTGAGTCTATTCAGTAAAATTTGAGTAAAAATTTTTGAACAACAGTTTGTTAGTGCTATTGCACGATAATTATTGGGGTCAGCTTTGGGTCCCCTTTTATGGTGCATACAGAATAGTGAGGTGCACCATTGAGACGGAATTGCTCCTGATGCAAATATTTTGTTAAAAAGGCAGCCTAAAAACAATTTCCAATTTATCGGAAGGTTCTTGATAAACTCGTATGTAAGTTTGTCACTTCCAGGTGATTTATTGCGTTTGGTTGAATTTAAAGCCACGTTAACTTCTTCCATAGTGATGTCTTCATCCAGTAGAGGATGGCAGGCGTCCAGATATGTATTGTTGTCTAAAACCCTAGATGGGTAATGGGAAGCGAAGAAATTTTCCCACTGCTCAATAGTTATCGGGTTGCTTGTAGTACTTTGGTTAAAAGATTTTAAAGTTTTCCAAAACATAGATTGGTTTTTGACGTTACTCAATGCATAGAGTTGAGATTTTTGGAACTGCACCTTTTTCTTCTTTAGTAATTTTTTGTACTGTTTTTTTAAAGACAAATAGCATGTAACTACACTCGCAGAGTAATTAGTTTCCTTAAGGTTTTTTAGCTGATTTTTTACTTCCTTTTTGAGGATAAGGCATTCCTTATCAAACCATGGTTGTGTAAGAGCAAGTGATTTTCCTGAGGTCCTTTTTTTCAACCCTAAGTTTGATGCTATTTGATAAATAGTTGTCAGCAGAGAAGAATAACAGTCGTCAATAGAACTACTTAGTAGAGGAGTTTGCGATAATTGCATTTGGATATAATAATTTTGGCTAATTGCGTCGCTCCACTTAAATGATTCCCTTTTTTCACGTTTGTTTGATGAATTTGTACAATAATAATCATAAACAATAATAATAAGAAAGTTACCCATGCAATCCCACGCGATCAGGGACACACTGTACATTATACCAGACCCCCATCCAACTCACAATTTAGACCATAACACGCCGCTTATATAACAAACAGCAATTGTTCTAGAATGTTCTCCGAGTGCTCACGAACGCTTCCGAATGTTCTAGAACAAACACGTCATATTTTCCGGAAAAAATAAGTTATTATCAATTACTTATCAATTATTTAACTTATTAAATGGTTATCATTACTTACAGACGAAGCATTGTTTTCTTTGAGTGGACTATAAATTTGGGCGGGAATAATAGACAATGTTCTTATAGCTCCATGCTTTATTGACGGGAATCTCAATTCCACCAAGTTTTTAAAACTGCTACGTACTCATATTGTAACCATTTAAGTGAAGAACCGAATGTTGAGAAGTGAACAAATACGGATTTTCAAAAAGATCGAATAGATTTTACTTAGTAATAAACTAAACAAATATAGAAAACGAGCTCCTGGGTATGGCTATAGCATGTGCAAAACTAAATTTTAAACCTAATGTTAGTTTTGCTTTTATTTATTTATTTATTTTTATTATTCATTTAATTGCTCCCATAAATAAGAAAGTTGGCACTGCGCATGCGAAAAACCAAATTTTGAAACTGGCGTTAAATTTGGTTTTATTCCAAGTGGCTATGTATCAAATTTCATTTAAATACCTTCATAAATAAAAAAGTTTGCAATTCGGTTTATAAATGGTCGAGATGCGAAAAGGGCACTATGAATGTTGATCGATTAGGCTCAATTTTTGGAATTGCGTTTTAAATACCTAAAGCTATACGCATTTTGAATTTCATGCAATTCGGTTCATAACTCACGGAGATGTCAAAAGGGTCTTCCTTATTTTTTGGGCTACATTGCCAATTCACGAACTCCGATCTACAAATTTGATAAAGAATCCATCTACTAAATTTTATCGTAATCGGTCCATTCATTATCGAGATATCGTGCTAACGGACGGACAGACACCGCAAAATTATAAACCCGCTAGAACCTCGTTAATAATCAATTGTTAATCTTCGGGATTGTTTTTTTATATTTTTCCATAAAAAACAATAACATTAGAAAATGCACGTCCCGGACTATATCTTATGGAAAATTCGATTCTAAACAAATTCATTTCTCTTGTTTTTTCCTCAGAGCAATAATTAACGAGATAATTCAATAATAAGTCAAATGCGAAAAGAAACGACATTTTCCCATTTTTTCTTCGTTTTTTGTTTGTTTGTTTTAGGCACTATGATTTTCGGATTCAACGGATTTTTTTGGTTTCGTTACGTGAAGAGAAGTGAAGAGAATGAGATTTGATCGGCTTATGAAACTTATCCAGAACACACGGACCGAAGATATTATGGTAAGTAGCGAAGTACCTGATATTTTTCAGACCCATTATTATGCAACTGCAAAGAACGCAATTGACCAAATCATGATAGCGGTCTGCGAGAAAGAATCACGAGAGGCAAAATAGCTGTTTCAATGTACTGTCGTATATCTACGAGCCAAAGAAGAATCCAGAAGTGAGTTGGATGGGTTCAGAACAAACAAAGGAGTGCCCATTCAAAGTCCCGTGTTCAATTGTCCATCATGAACGAGTCCGTGCTGACAAAATTTTTGGAATTTGATGAAATCCAAACCCAGGACACAACCCTATCGCAAGAAAATGACCAATGCAAGGAAAGGTATCAAAAATCAACATGTTATGGTACCTACCTTGAACTGCAGGGAAGGTACCTCAAAAATACTAATACGTTCCCCGCCATACGGTGTTAAATGAGGAAAGCCGCACCACAACATTACGAGTGGTGTTTGACGCCTTAGCCACTTCTAGTTCAGGAAAAAGTCAGAACGCGATGATGCTAATTGGTCCAAATCTACAAGTAGCTTTGTACGTAAATGGGCCAATACAAACCTCCAGGCTCTAAGGAGGCCCCGATTAAATTGAAGAAAATTCTACCGCGGTTGCAGCATTGTGCAGCAGTACTGGTTGCCAAGCTGTTAACAGGAACTAAACAAACCCTCAACCTCAAGGCACTCAATCTCTTCCTGCATGCAATAGGACTACTAAGAGTAGGGGGAAGATTACCGTTTGAGATATACGATAATCCCTAACCGAAATTTATCTCGGCTTAGATGAGCATTAGGATTTACAACCCTAAGGCTTTTGGATAAAGTAAAGGTAGTTCAAAAAAGTTTGGAGTATGGAGGGGGTCAACTTCGCCCTGTCCCCATGATGCTAAAAGTATACTCTTTTACAAATACGTGGTAATTCTACAGTTTCAGACTCCATGGTCGCTGCCCCCCCCTCAACCGTCATTATTCACTTCCGACGTCGCTGGATACGGGGTAACTTGACATTGCCTTAGAGTCAGTCCTTAAAGCCCGCTTGACATGGAGCAATAAAATTGCAATTGCATGCAAGTTGCAAAGAAAAATTGCGAAAGGCATGCGCAGTTCAAAGCCAGCTGATCAATTGCTGCAAGAGACTTGCATGCAATTTTTATAGGACCGGTGCTATTTTTCTTGCATGAATCGTGCAATTCTAGGGATAAATCTAGTTGTTTTTGTGTCACCAACCTAGTAAAATACAGCGGCGGCAACTGTGATGCTGAGAGACGCACTCATTACTTGTTTTTACTAATCTTATTTATTCTTGTAATTTTCATGTTTCTTCAAGCAATCAAAATTTAATTTTCATTTGAGGTTAACAACTTTGTTGACAAATCCATATGTTTCTTCTGTTGGCAGACATGTGGCAATTGAAATAGAATTGCACCATGTCAAATACCATGCAATGCTTATTGCATGCAAGGATTTGACCTTGCAATTTCTTTCTGCAAGTTCTTGCGCGTAGTATTGCTCCATGTCAAGCGGCCTTAAGACATTTAAAGGTAGTAGATAATAATGAATTGTTTCATTTAGTACTTACATCAATCGAATTAAGCTAATTTATTCGTATACAGTATTGCTTTATAATAGCAACTGATACTTTTATAATTAAAGAATGCAAAATGATTAAAGATTAATGTTTGAACAAGGATCCCAGTTCTTTTTGCGTCAGGGTCACCCGTGAGTTGCCACATTTTCTTTTGAACTCTAATACAATCTTTCTTTTTCGGATTGATTTTAAAGAGTGTGCTTGCTTTACTTTTGGTGTAGGTAAACGTTTAGATAACTACTTTAAAAATAGCATAAATGGTATTCTATTTTATTCATGTTGAAAGAAATTTAATTTTCATTACAATTAATCAACAAGTGGCATATAAATGGTTGCATGGACAGCGGAGGTTAGAGGTGAAAATGACTTGCAACATTTATCTATACGCGTCTATACGGGTAAATGGTAGTTCAAAGAATTTAAATAACCACTAAACCCTTTTGCTACTGTAAATAAAACTAAGATGATGAATGTTCTATACAATAGCTATGTTAGTTTGTGCCTTTTGCGGTATCTTTGAATAGATTTAATTTCATCAATTGATGTAATATTATAATGAGCTAGCTGCATTTTTATAATAAAGTGTACAATCACCGTGTGTACCTATCTCATTTCGTACAATTAAAATAACTCATTACAACGAAAGTATTTTGCGAGTAACAAATTAATACGTAGGCGCCATCTGGTTGATATACTCAAAAATTCGGGTAGGAACACCCTTGCAGAGCAAATCGATGTTAAGCTCTCGTTAAAACCAGTAGGTGCCGCTGCATTCTACTGAATGGCTGCATAATTACGAAATCTAGGCCTGGAAGTACTGACGTACCTACCAATTTCAAATACTAATAAACATTTCTTATAATTTCAATTCCATTATTAATAAACAATTCAATAAATACTACATGTCTATTACCATAACTGCAAATTATAATATGCCAGGTTGCTCTTAAAATACGAATGAATTACCTACATAATAAAATCGTCTAGACTCTCCCACATCACGAAACGTATTTTTTGACAAAATCAGTCCTTTTAACTTTAAAATGTTCTTAGTATAGGCATTGAATAAAGAATCTGAATTTATTATTCAATGGTATAGGTATGCGATGGTAGGTTCATAGCCGCAAAAATTTCCCAACAAACTTTGTTTCTAACAGGATTTGTTGTTATGTAATTGTTTTTGTATACGTGAGCGTTCTTCAGGATGAAGTCTGGTCGCATTCACACTCATTCGGGTTACTGTTTTAGATCTTCATTCACCTCGCATTAAGCCAAAACTGAAAGACAAACAGGAACTTTATTTGAAATCAATTTTACCTACTTACAAAATGTTTTCTAATTTAATGTCATCACCCCAGAAGGTTTACCATATATATATCTCTATTTATTTAGCAATCCATGTCGCTTTTGTGTCCTAAAATAATAAAGCGAATTATTTACTTATTTACCTATTTATTTACTGATTGATGTATTTGTTAATTTTTTTATTTACACCTAAGCCAATTTGACACTCTTCTCTTAAATTATCTTCCTTACAGTTCTCGTCCAAGTATTAGGATTTTTCTTTTCTTCCTTTTTTCACTGTTGACTTTGTTTTTTATCCTTTATATTTTTTTCTTAATTTTTTGCCGACAAAGACATGGTGGGTCGAATCTGGACGTAGGCTCTTCCAGCATCGGGACACTTGTTGAGAAGGACTCTCTGGACAAGCTAATACTGTTATGTATTGAATAGTGTGTTTACACCTTGATGGTGAAGGTTTTTGTTTAATTTAACCTGCAATGTAGGTAAATTTTGATGGAAGTGTTTTTATATGACACCTCGAGTTGTTTTAGGTGTGGTTTCAGCCAACTGACTCATTTGACGTCGGCCAGGAGATTCGTTAATATACCTGTGGAGACGCGAACCAACGGAGGAGTATTCCAATCATTACATCTCCTGGAAAAGAAAAAAAATTTATACTTCATGATGGAGACTGTACCTAACCATGTGCTTTTTTTATCTGACTTGGACACGACTCTAAAACAAGAAAGGAAGGTAAGAAAAAAGCAGTTTTTTCAGGGATGAGCTTGTCAAACCTCTAGAGTTTTTAATGTGAGGAACAATTTGATGGGGGGGGGGGGGTTCCCCGACGTAGAGTGCTGGTTTCACAGATATAAGAAGTTCCCATGTCACAAAATGCTCATTTGAAAACAATATATTACGAAGGTGTAATTGGGAAGAGACTCCAATTGTGAGTACGACGTGCACAATGGGCGCTGAACGAGTCCGGGAAGTTGAATGAATGTGTTTTGATTGTGCCAATGATGTGACCCAAAACTCGAAGGATTTACTGATAGTCTAAGAGATGGCTACAGAAAATTGTTAGTTACTGTTACATCGTATGCGAAAAAATTAACGGACAGAAATAAACATAAGATGGTTGCGATTTCGCATACAAACATGCATTCCAAATTTTATCAAAATCGGTTCGGGCATTTTTGTGTTATCGTGTTCACAAGAAAGAACATCATAATTTAAAAGTGCCATAAGGGTTTGAAAAAAAGGTTAGTAATTTTTACGCAGAAACGTCCCTGATAGTGCCTACCAGGGACGCATCCTCACGACAGTTGACTAAATCCTGGGAGAGGCGGCGACGCCAGGCATATGTCAAAGTTTCAAGTTTCAAGTTTCAAGTACACTGGTTAATGTGGAATAAAAAAACTCTACAAAAGATTCATTACAGTTTTTGTGTTAAAATAATTGTTTGTAATTCGCTCTTTTCTCGAAGAGTAAGCACCATAGCGTAAAATGTGAAATACAAAAAAAGATGTGCCTTGATGATGTAACGATAACTAACATTTTTCTGTACCCAGCTTTCCGTCTATAACATGAATCTGCTTTTTAGCGCATTTTTGACTCAAAAAGGATATTGTTCCATTAACTGTCGGTTATTCAGGCACCTTTTGTAAATTGATTGAGATCTCGGCAAAAGACTATCGTAGAACTTTCGGGTTTTCGGCACGCTAAGCGTACTATAGTGTTATTCCTTCATCGCTTAGTCTGAAAGTTGATAATTTATGAATTTTTTTTAATGTGTTAAGATAAGAAAATAGAATATCATAGTGTGTGTATGAATGTCAGCTTTTTTGTTTAATAAAACAGTTTTCCGTTCTTATCTAATTCAGGAGAACTCAATTATTACTCTGCTAATAGCTTATGAGCCGTATGATCAATTTCAAGAAAGGCTTCACCGGTATGCGAAATTGCCATTTAGACCAAAAGGTGTAAAAATCATTAGATCGATGCATCATCTTATTGTGAGTGCGCACGAATATCACTGCTTCTTCCCAAACGATTCAAGAGAAGGCTCAATCTGGTCCATTTTCATACCGATTGGTAAAGTTGGTACCTTTTGCAAAGGAAATTTTAAATTCAAATTCAGAAAGATTTTGAATAATCTCGTTAGGCTTTCGGAAACTAGCAATATTTGTATTTTCATCCAAACGTTGGCGAAGATATTTAAATTAATGTAGTGAGAGGAAATCTCTGTCCTCTCCCCTCTCTCCCACGTGTTTGTAAATTGCGATCTATATTTACTTAAATTCAAGCTTTTGGTAATGGTTATATTGCACATATAGGAATTACGCAAGCTACTTATAATGGTACCAACTTTTCTCTGTGCCCACTTCTTGTGTGCAATTGTTCCGGCGTTCAGTTGTCATGACGCTCATTTGACTTCGCGTCGCGCCGCATGAATGGCCGCATCCCTACGGCCGCTCCTCGCAGGTTTGGGTCCACCTAAAAAGACATAAATACATGTTTAATATTTGGAATGAAAATTTCTCAGATATGTTTGAATGGGAATAAAAATATTGGAAACCACATACCGCTACAATCATTTAGGTAGGTATTTAAAAAAAGAGATTTCGCTTATTAGCATATATATATATATATATAGAGAGTTGGATAATGGACAAAAATGATCCTGGAGTTATGCCTGAAGAAAATCAAGAAACAAAATTTAGCACCTTTTTAAAGTTTCTTAAATATGGTGAAAAATAACATAATTGGCGTTTTTGATTTTTGCCTTTAAAATCGTTATTTGGGTAGATATTTAAAAACTAAGTTAATTTCAGGTTTTTTAAAATAAATTCCATTGTTCATGGATGCTTTTGTCAAATGTCACTCAAAATGTCTTTCTCTTAATTTTGAACTTTTGATTTTTTTATAAATATGTTATACATTTTTGAAATCATGATTTTTTCTGTTTTAGATGACATCATTTCCACCATCTAAAAGAGCAGAAAGAGTTTCTTAAAGAAAGTCTTTTTTGTTTTTAAATATCTTCCCAAATAATGATTTTAACAAATAAAAAATAAAAAATGTATCTAATATTCGCCATATTTAGGAAACCTTAGAGAGGATGTAGGTATTTACGGTTTTGAGCGTTTGAGCTGCAGTGCGGCTTTGAAATCCTCTTCTTCGCATTCTGTAGCAATTCATCGTCATGGGGCTTTCTCATAGCCATGTCCTGATGAGTAATATTCCAAAAATATTAAAGTTTTTTGGACCCTTCCGAAGTTAGCACAAAGTAATTCTGTTGGAAAAATGGGACGTACAGCCGTACACCACCGATGACCGAATAACATAATACCAAAGTCTCAGAAACTTTGTATTTTTTGCAAATACCACCCCGATTTTAATCGATGCGGGCTGGACCGCCTCCTAAAAAAGTTTTTCCCATGCCTATACAAATTAAAAAACTGGGCTAGGATGAGCAAGATGAAAAGATTGAATTCTGCGAATTAATGTCACAAATAATTAGAAAAAATCCGGTTCTTCGGAAGCTATTGATCCCTTTCTTACAAGTGCATTGTATCTAAATATAATGTATTTTATAGTCTAACTGTCTGATTACAAATGTGGATAAGAATACCAAGTTGATTCTCTGGATTTTTTGACATCTAAAAACAGCAATGTACATTTGTACCAGCTGCTGAATAAAAAGATGCAAGAACTAAAAAACACAACTGTAAATTTATTACAACAATACGACAATTTCACAACCCTTAAAATATGTCTCTCTCATTCGGTGGTACATATTTTAATATTGAAGCGAGGTAGTGCAGGCGCAGAAACCACAAAAGGGTATAAGTAATTTCGCCTACAGTGATATGTTGCGGTGCAGAAATATTTAGTAAACAACTTTTCCAAAGAAAGGTCATGTAGTACCTATAATAAAGAAATAATTGAGTTCATTCTACGACTTACTCGTCGCAGATCGGTTCTCACTAACCAATAATTTTGATAGAAATTCGCAAGCGGGTGATTACAAACAAACTACTTCCACTTACAATTTTCACTATCTAAATTAGTGTGTATAATTATAGTAATTTAGTAAAAAATTTCCCAAAATAATATTCTAAATCTACAGGCGACCGCAATAATTGCAGTTGCTTTTTATAAATACTTGCCTATACACTTTTTATATTTCATATACCTACCTATCATAAATTTGCCGAAATAAGTATATGTTTCTTCTTCTTTTTCATAGCGTGTTCCAGCCGCTGTCGAATCTGATCAACCAGTTATGAACCAATCGGATTCTAGAAGTAATTATGGCATCCTTCGTGTGTCTCGTAGCAGCTTGCGATGTTCCTACAAATGTATAGCATTTACCAATCGTAAAAAATGGTTAAAAAACAATTTAAATTACATTCTTAAAATTCATGAGCATCTGTTTTTTAAGCCGAGCGGTCTTCCATCCGTAAGATACCTGTAGAGACGAGCTTCTGATACTAATAATCTACAAAAGCCCGGATCTACAGGGTAGATCACGAATGTGCCTATATGTTGTATGTACCCATTTCTCATATGTGCATCCATGACATGCAACAGTAAGTATTCTATAGTAAATCATGCAACCATTCATCCAACGCAACTTAATTACTTAAAAGAAAGTGAAAATAGTCACTTCACTGCCTAAAACTGAAAAATTATATTTCTATAAATCTGAAGTAAGAGAATAGATAGGTATACTAAGTGGTGACTTGTACTAGCAGCTTTTTTATAATGCTATACATTATACAGTATATATATATTGGTTATGCGATAAAGGCAAGTGTATAGGTGCGTAGTCCATTTTTGCTAATGGCTTTAATCTTTGAATACAACAAATTAAGGGGAACCTAATTGTTTTCTGTACAAACAGAGTAAATATGGTTTGTCCCAAAAATAACTAGGGTAGTCATTTACGGATATCAGTATAAAATAAATTCTGTATGTGCGTCGCGCAAGTTACTCCTTGGTAAGTGTATGTAATTTGTGAAGAAATATGTAGGTACGCGGTTTTCAGTAAATCTTACAATGCATTACAACAATGTCCAAATTATGGAGGAGAAAGAAGGATATGTCTAAGGAAATTTCGAGAATTAAGAGAATACCCAAAAAAAAGAGTGTCCACTGTCCACAGAGCTAAGACCGGCTTTATGGTTCAGTGGTAGAGCGTTGGACTATACATCCGGAGGTTGGGTGTTCGAACCTGGGTTGAGGAGAATTTTTCATTTGTGGCAGAGATGGGAATTACCTCAGACCTGTTTCGAGCATTCTGCCGGCTACTCCAAATTAGGTTTTCCTGCAGTTTTCCTAATTCGTAAGGTAAATACCGGAGTAGTATAGAAGAACTTAAGACCTTCTGCAGAGGCACCTCTAAAAAGCATTATGCGGGTCACTCTGTAATTGGGCGCAAGCCTGTTGGGGGCCCAGAGCAAGAGAGGGATAATAAATAAATAAATAAAGGAAAGTAAATAAGGGCTATAGTGAAACACACATGGCAAGGATCGAATGGGGTAGAGTAGCCTTTCTAACGACATTAAATTCAGATTTAGTAATCTCAATACTCCTATTATCGGTTAGTAAGAAGGTCTCTGCCAAACAGATTTAATAAGGGAAATCAGTGCATTCACGGAAAGTAAACAATCCATTGACATGTTCCATAAATACAGTCGACTCCCACTTTGTACTGGTCTTAGGAAATAATGCAGGGTTAGGAAAAATTACCAGAACGGTCGATTATTTCAAAATATATAGGGGTTATCAAAAAATGTCGTATATAAAGTTTGTAGGGCTGTTAAAAGTCTACCTACGTTTGTTAAATTAAAATTACAGGGTCGCCCACAAAGTTGTGGAGAATGATAGTTGTATTTTTTTTAATGGAACAAATGGATTGTCGACTCAACTATAAACATTTTTTATTAACCCTATAATATTACACCTAAATTCATTAGTCTCCTAGATATCATGACATTTTGATTAGTTACAAAACACAAAATAGTTTTCAAGAAACAATTTAATAAGTAAACTTTGAACAAAAACGTATAACAAAAACAAATCATGGCATAACGGCTCTATTTGTTAATAACTAATAAGTCTTAATAACTAATAAAGTAATAAGTGTCATTGGGTATGCAAACCATTTATTTTGTGTTTTCTAACTGATCAAAATCATGATATCTAGGAAACTAATGAATTTAGGCATAACATACGGTTAATAAAAAATGTTTAAAAATGAATTAACCATCAAAGTAAGTAATAATATATAGGGAGGTTCCTCTTTAAAAAATATAACTACCATTCTCCAGAACTTTGTGGGCGAACCTGTATAATTCAATTTATCTCAGGTATGTAGATTTTTAACAGCCCTACAAATTTTATATGACATTTTTTCATAATCCCTGTATATTTTGAAATAATCGATCGTTTTGGTAATTTTTCCTAACCCCTAAATTAGGCATTGTAGTTCACTTAAAAAACAACGGAGATACATTTATTTCAAAATTAGATAGTTGCAGAAGCTGGAGACAAATTAAAAGTGTGAATTTCTCCACGGTATGTGTGACATTGGAAATTCCACTAATTATTAATTAATGGTTTGATATTTATATATCTATTAGATGATAGTTAATTGCACCTAATGAGAGAAACTATGTCTGCAATTATTTTCAGGATTTATTGTAATTTTGTGTGCCAACAAAGATAGATCATAATTTCTTAAAAGTATACCGGGTGATCGAAAAGTAGTGCGGACAGTTTGAATTTCCCGTAGAACTAAACATTTATAAAGTTGATAACATACCCAAATGTCATTTGTGTAAAAGCAGTGGTGGTTCAATTTAATCACTAATGCATAAATAAACTACCTTCTAAACTTGTTTGACAATTCCTTAAGTAAAAAACATTAAAAACTTAAAGCGCCCAATTTAAATTGTCTGCAGTTCTTTTTGATCACCCGATATATGAATAAATGCTTACTGAAAATTGTCTTTAATGTTAAAGAAAGAATCACCCAGAATTTTCAATTATATATTTCATTTTTAACGGAAAGCGGAAAGGACTGATACTTTGCATTAAAAAAATCATAAAGAGGTATCCATTTTCCCAGTCAATATCGAAACTATGTGATGTTGCTTACCTAAATTGGAAAATATGCAAAATCTACTGCCGAATCGCAAAACACTTTTGGCCCCACTCATAAAAATTTAAACTTCTCTTTTTTTATTACAAAAAAAACTAGATGAAAGAGGTCGGTTTAGATTTGAATATGATCCTGTACCAAAGCTCGTTACATCAAATTATTTTCCGTCAACAGCCGTGTTC